AGGGAGATTGGATGCTGCTGGCTTCAAAGACGGAGGGGAGAGCCATGAGCCAGGAAATGTGGGGGCCCCCAGATGCTGGAAAAAGCACAGGAACAGGTTCTCCCCTTGGCCTCCGGGAGGAACACCATCCTCCCAACACCTTGACTTGGGCATGTAGGACCCATTTCAGACTTTTCCAGAACTGTAAGATAATTAATCTGTGTTGTTTAAAGTCATTAAGTTTGTGGTAATTTGCTACGGCAGCAATTGGCAATTGATACGGAGGGAGAGGGAATTAGAGAGAAAACGTGAAACTACCTGAGTCCCCGACACCCAGCCCCGGAGCAGGACTTGGGCACAGTTGTCTGTCCCCACCTGCAGCAGGAGACCTGGGCTTCCATCTGCAGCCTGCCCAAGGGGTCGTCTAAAGTTATGGTCGGTACCTTCACCGCCAGGGTGACCACAAATCTCTAGGGGATGTAAAGGCCTCATGCCAATCTGGGTAGGTTAATATCGAGGAAATTCTAGTGCGGTGTTTTTCAGACCCTTCCCCCTCTATGGACATGGGATCTGAGGAACAGCCGCTCCAGTGGAGAACCGCCTAGAACCCCCAAGGGGCAAGGCGAACAGGCTGTGTACAGCAGAGAACTGGGTTAGGGACAGAGAGATTTATGAACAAGAGACACTTTCCAATAATGCGGTGAACACTGCAGGAACACAAGCCCTATATTAAGCATTCAGAACAGAAGAAATTGATTTAAAGCCATTCACCGAATAAGCCAAAAATAATTGCCCCAGAGGCTTGGCACAAAGCCAACGCAAGCACAGAGCAAAGCCCGCAAGAAACACGGGCAGCCTAGATATGCCTTTGCTTTCAGATTTGCAGCTTACAGACCAATCGAAGCTGGTCCTCCCCATCCGGCACCCTGTTTAGAAGGAATCCCAGAAAGGAGGTGATGCACAGCCCCCCAAGTGCAGGTTAAGAGGAGTGAAGAACTCCCAGCGGCCCTGAACGTGGCCTCGGTTCCACCAGATTCTTTATGTGCCAAAGAGCTGCCACCCGTCATCCACTTCAGAGGCTGCCGTGGCGGTGTGGCAACAGAGGATGGGGTGCTGTGGGACCACATTCTCCCCACCACCCGATCCACACGTGTGCCGGGTGCCGTGCTGGCGGCGGGGATGCACAGGTGCACGCGGCAGTTCCGTGCGCTCCTGAACCCCAGCATGTGAGGCGGGGTAGGAGATGGAGTGGCTGGGAAGATGTAGATAATTAAATACAGTCCAGCACTTACGGCGGCGGGGATGCACAGGTGCACGCGGCAGTTCTGTGCGCTCCTGAACCCCAGCATGTGAGGCGGGGGTCGGAGGTGGAGTGGCTTGGAAGATGTAGATAATTAAATACAGTCCAGCACTTGAGCAGCCGCTGGTCTGGTCTTGCTCAGCGGGAAGGCTGGGCTGCAGTGTGCAGGCTGACAAAACCTTGAGGGTGGGTCGGGGAAGAGAGTGTTGGTTAAGCTTAAGAGGAGATTTGTTGGGGCTGGCAGAGAAAGATTGGGGATAAAACAGCTGCCATTGGGTAAAGAATCTTGGAGAAACAACAAAACTGTTTTTAAGGGGATTTAGGAATTCACGTGATTTGTGCTAGAACATCCTTCTCCATCATTCAGTAGGATCAACATTCAGGGTCCATGCTTCTGGAGTTTGGCCGGGGAGACTTTGGGATGCAAAGATATGCACGTGTAGCAGTTAACATTCAATGGGGGCTGCATATAACAAAAACGCAAACTAATGATGGCTCAAAGGACGTTGATGTGTGCAGCTGACCCTTGAGCAACCCAAGTTTGAGCTGCACAGGTCCGTGTACACACTCCCGTCTGCATGTGCCCCAGCCTGGTTCTGTGTAGCGCCGTCCCCTCCGAGGGAGGGCAGTGAGGGTGCCTGTAAAGCTGTCACTAGCGTCAGGGTGTTCATCACTGCATCCTAGAACACCGGTGTCGTTTTCTCTCCAGCTGCTTACGCCATGCACATCCTCTGCTTCCCACAGAAGGCAATAAATACACCATTTCAGCTGAAATAATTGAGCAAATCAAAAACATACGATGCTACCTAGGTTTGCAATGCACAGACATCTATTCCTGTGGGCAGAGGGAGAGAGAAGAGTGAGAACCAGATCAGGTGCTGCATGTACCTGGCCGCCCGCGAACCAGCGCCTCCTCCCCGAGTGCACCTGAGCACCGTCCTAAGACCTTCTCTTTTGCTTCCTAGGACCGCTTCATTTTCTTTGAACAATACAGATGCAGAATTGGTAACGAGGAAGTTCTCGCACCATGAAGACCAAGAACTTTCTACCTCGAGTCAGATACCATCTGCACAGTCCCGCTCAGAACCCAGCACCATGCTGCGAAGACCAAGCACCGGGCGAGAACACACCCAGCCCACGGGCCAGCCTGTCAGCGAGGGCGCCATCTTGGAAATGGACCTTCCTGCCTCCTAGGAGGGCCGTCCAAACCCTAACCCGCAGGATCCGTGAGCATAAAAGAAAGGCTGGTTTTTATGCCACTAAGTTTGGGGTGACTTTTATACAGCAGAAAGTAGCAGCAATTGTGAGGGAAAACTAACGTATTTATGTGCTCACATGCGTGAACTTTGTAGGTCTCTGTGCTTGGGTGGGTCCTTTTATGTCCTTCCTTAAGATTATGTGATTTTCTTCATAAAGGTGTTAGATTTATTTCTAAATACCATCTTTGTTGCTGGCTTTGCCGTTATAACTAGTATCTATTAATTATATTTTCTGACCATTTGTTGCTCTTAGCAAAATGGTTAAATTTTTTATAATTAGTTCTTAATCAATTGATGCTTTTTATTCTTTAATTCTTCGAGTTTTCTATATGATAAGTTCTTTGCAGTTTTCTACATGCACAATTATATAATCTAAAAAATAATAACAGCTTTACTTCTTTCCATTTTGATAACTTTTCTTTCTTTGTCTTTTTTTATGCTAGCATGCTGGCTCACAGTGTGGATTTCTTTCTGCCGCGCCATTTCGTTTTCGATCTGCCTTTCCGTTTGCCTCCTTTCTTCTTCGTTTCCATTTTCTACTGGATCTATCAACTTGTCTATAGTTTCCTGATTGGAAAGTTATCTTTTCTATTTCTATTCTATTTAAACATGTGCTCTTAAAAAGCAGATTCTTTTAAAAGCATCGATCAGTATCTGGCAGCTGCCTCTCCAGTTACTGCTGAATGGTCACAATACCCAAAGAAAAGTGGTGGCCGGGATGGCCTCTGATTAGTCGCCCTGAACTCCCAGTTTCAAATGTCCTGACAAAAAGTCTGTGATGCACCCCCCTAATCTCCCACTAAACCGCTGGGGGGTGGGAACATGAATGTTGACATTCTCCTTAGTTAAACTGAACAAACACAACTCACATTTCCTTAGAGTCTCATCCAAGTGGTCGGAATCTGTTTGCATGTTTATCGTGGAGACGGAAGACTAGATTTCTGATTTTAATCACAGGGCGACAGTTTGGCTTCCTCTCCACAAGGTCTGGTGGACTTGTATCTCCTAATTTAATGCCTTTAAATTTTCGTAGCTAAACTAAATGCCTTTAAATTTTCGTAGCTGAGCTAAATGCCTTTCTCTCCCTCGCGCAGTAGGTTTCTCCATCACATCCTTTTGTGATTTGTTCTTCCCACTCAAAATTAAATTTCATTAACATTTTTATTATTTTCTGTGACAAAATAACTCTCTCAGAATATCTGCATTCCCAATTCCCTCCCATTTTTCACATTTTTTCCTATTATTTTAGTTCCACCCTATTTTTAAGTTTCTCCAAGTTCGTCAGTTTTAATGAATTGGGTCTTACATCACCCACTGTCTTCCAGGGGTTCCATTCACCTCTCATTGGATGCACCCGTTAGAAATTGTTTCAGAGAGGGATTGGCCTGACAAATGTCTTAGACTACAAATGTCATTGTTAGCTAACCCTCATTCTTGAATGGTAAGGTCATTGAGTATAGAATTCATGCTGAAAGTTATTTTCTCTCAAGATTATTCGTTAGTACTTATTATTGCTGATGTGAAATGTGTCTTGAGGCTAATTGTCATTCCTTTGTGAAGGATCTATTATTTTTCTCTGAAGTTTGTTTTTCTTTATTTTTAATATTCCATAGTTCCATTACAACGAGTCTACGTAAGGAATGGTTTTTATTTTTCCTATTCTGGAGACTGCTTCTTCGACTCAAAGATTATGTCTTTCTGAAATTCTAAAAATTCTCAGCCTTTATTTCTTCAAATAGTTCACCTTCTCCATTCTCTGCTTTTCTTCCTTCTCATTTCTGAGCCAGTTGTCATATCCCATGGACATGTGTTGCGAGTTTTCATTCTGTCTTCCACGTTGCTTAGGGAAGTCATCTGTCTCCACATGTAGTCCTGGCTCTGCTCTGGGGTGTGGGGACATCCCTCAGGGCTCCCTGGGGATCTCTTGTGTGTTTTCCTTCTCTTCGGCTCTCTGTGCTGTAAGGTGACATCTTCGGATCTGTCTCCCAATTCATTAGTGACCTCTTCAGTGGCATCTGGCTTATTGTGTTGCCATCTATTGAGTTTTTCATTAGAACAGCCATATTTCTGATTCCTAGAATTTCTACTCATTTCTTTCTAAATCTTCCTGCACTGTCTCCCTCTCTTTTGAGATTTTGAGCATATTTATGTTGACGACACTTCCAGATTGCTCCATCATCTGTGCTTCCTGGGGGGGTTTTAAATCCCAGCTGCCACACCCGATCACCCTCATGTGGTAGTTTGTTTCTTCGCATGATGCACGCAGTTTGGGCGATGAAGTCAGCTGTCTCCACATGTAGTCCTGGCTCTGCCCTGGGGTGTGGGGACATCCCTCAGGGCTCCCTGGGTTTTACCATTTCTGGAGCAGGTTCACATGTTAATTTCTCAGTTCAAGGTTTCTGTACCTCATAGGTGATGTGCCTCAGATCCTACATCTGCAAGTGACCCAGAAGTCTGCTGACTCTTTATCCAACCATGGCTTAGAGGGAGGGGCATGCTTTTGACCCATGCCCTACCCCCTGCAGTCAAATGAGCAGAATTTCTTACCCCTGATCACAGATGGGGCAGCCCTCCCTAGCTCCCTGAAAAATGTTAAATTCCAATTCTGCACTGAGCGTGGGGATGGGGCAGGGGAGAGAGGTCGCCTGGGGTCTCAATCCCTTCCTTCTTGCAGGTAGAGGCAGAGTTCTGAGAGCCCCACAGGCCACTGAGTTTCCATCCTGGTTCTCAGCTATGGCTTTGAGCTCCTTGCACTCTGGCACTGGGAGATCTTCAATTTGGATCTGACCTCCAAATGCCTTGTTATTTTATCGAGCTTTTTGTATGTGTTTGGAGCAGGGCCGCTGTGTGAGGGCGAGGTCTCCCATATCAGCGCCATCCATCCACCATGCCATGCTGACCGTGGGGCAGAAGCAGAATGTGCAGTTAATACAACGATCATTCCAGCTCAACACAAAACCCCAGGCTCCCGTCCTAGTGCCCGCCGGACCCTCTTCAAGCCTGGTCACTGCCAGCGCTCCCCAGGGCCACGAGGAAGGGCCGCTTCTGCGTCTCTGTGTTTCGGTGTCCAGCCCCGCGCCTTGCCCAGCCTGAGCGCCCAGATCATAGGCTGCTGCTCTTTGCTTATGCTTCACAGATATCTCTTCAAATTTTCAGAACTTCTAAAAGTAAGTATGTTTTTAACCCCCACTTGAAAATACAGTGAGATTAAGTCACTTGCCCAGCCAGGGTCACTTGGCTAGAAACTGGCCAAGCTGGGAATTCTCCCTGAGGGTTGTCCAGTCCAGTGTCCACCTTTTTGACCCCAACTGCACTCTGGAGCCTCCCAAATGTTCGCCGAACAAATCAGTTTAGAAGGAAGGAGACTGTCTGTTTGGCCTTGGCGGTCAGATAAAATTAATGGGTAGGAGCTAAGTGGAGACTGATTTTGACTGATGAGGGCTTTTTATACCAATTAAAACATCCGAGCGGCCTCCTCGGCTGGTCGCGGTGACCCAGCGCCTGGGTAACCTGGCTGGGAAATTGCCAGAGGGAAAGAATTCCAGCAATTCCATGAGCCCAGCGATTGGACTGGGTGGCTTTAGGTCCCGCCAGCCCCTGGGGTCTGGGACTCCAGCGAAAGCTGTTTTCACATCTATTCAGGGCCTGCCACTCACTGGACTAAAATGCCTCCTTTGATCTAATTGATGACCCAAATAGCTTTAAGTAGCTCTCAGCGGGTGGCCCATCCATTGTGCAAGGAATCCAGGTCCTGGAGCTGCTACCCGGGTGGGTGTGTTTTCTTTTCGCTGCAGGCACTGCTTGGAGGCCCCAGGCTCAGGACAAAGGAGATATTTGGCTGGTAGGGCTCCAGTCTGTCCCCACAGGGCAGCCTCAGGACCTCGCCAGGAAGCCGAGGGGAGTGGACCTGAGAAGGAGAAGGAAAGAGAGGAGGGATGAGGGGCTGGGCTGGACAGGACTGAGAGGGAGCTTTATTCCAGCAACTGACTTTGGTTACCTCCCACTCCAGCACTGCAGAAGCTCATGACGCATGCGCTGACTCGGGCTCAGCTGCCAGTCAGTGCCCCGTTGTCCCCCAGTCCAAGGGCAATTACCTCCTTGTCCCAGGGCCCACGAGGCTGGCCGTGCCAGTCTCCCAGGGTGAGGCCTGATGCCCATGAGGCTTGTTAACGTGCAGGGCTGCCAGGTCCAGCTCCGGCAGGTCCTCTAGAGCAAGCCCCATGGGACAGGACCTTAGTGGGGGCAGCTGACTGGTCCTCCACTGCACCCCATCCGCCCTGGCTCAGTCTCATCCTAGGTGCCTTCACCCAGCCTTTCCCGGGGCCCTAGGCTCCATCCTTCCCCCGCCCCTGCCAGGGGCCTCACCACTAGAAAGGCTCTGTTCCTGCCTCTCAGGAACCCCATCTGGGTCCCCCATAATATGGGCACCCCGACCGCCCCCCCCAAGAGGGCAGTGAGTGAAGAATAAGCAAAAACAGTAACAACAACTGACAGGTAACAGCACCAATAAGGCCTCTGTTGCTGATTATCTGTAGAGGACTTTGAAGGAAGGAGAACTAGAATTATAATAATGAACACGTGTCTGTCGCTGCTGTAGTTTTCCCCATAATAACCCTGAGGGCAGTTGGAAAGTGCCTGCTCTCCCCGGGAGCCCCCCAAGGAAGCCCGCACGTGAGGGGCCCCATGGAAACCCCAGGACCAGCCCGGGTCCACTCCCGCCCTCTCAGCACGGGGAGGTGTGCCGGCTGCAGGGCCGGGTGCTGAGCCATGCTGCGCTTGGGTCCTAGGAACCCTCCTTCCTGAATCGGCACAAGGGTGGCGGCCTCAAGTGTCAACGCTGGGAAGAGGGTAACACAACGGTCTGAATGCGCGTGTCCCCCAGATCTGTAAGTTGGAACTTAACCCCCAAGGTGATGGTATTCGGAGGTGATCAGGTTATGAGCGTGGAGCCCCCCCGACCCGTGGGATCAGTGCCCTTATGAAAGGAACCCCACGGAGCTCCCTGGCCCCTTCCACATGGTGGGGACACGGTGAGGACACAGTGTCTATGAACCATGAAGCGGGCGTCCCCAGACACCAGCTCTGCCGTCCAGCCTCGGGACTGTAGGGTCAGCGTCTGTTTCGTGCCCCCCTCCGGCAACCTGAACAGACAAAGACAGACAGAAACTGCTGTCCGGATTGCGTTATCCCCATCATCGCTCACCTTCGGATGTGGGGGACACCCTGGAGGCCTGTCCCCAGCTGCGTAAGTGCTGCACACGTCCTCTGTGCATTGAGCCTGAAGTCCCAGCATCAGAAACAGCTTTCTCATGTCATCCTGAGCCCAATGCCGGCACAGCCTGGGAAGAAGTGACCCGTGGGTACAGTGGCCCACACAGCTCCGGAGATAGGAGCCGCTGGCACGAAATGGACATTGATTCTGATGGCTTTGCGGGGAGAGAGAGCGAAACGGCATTCGTAAATATTCTTCGACCTTATGACCAAAGGCGTCCATCCTCTCTGGGGGCGGGAGCGGGGTAGGGGGTGGGGAGGCATAATCTCGACGGAAATCATTTCTTAGCCACAGGTTTTCCTAAAGAAAAAGGCACAGGTCGCCCACGGTGCACCAGGCAGAACTGTGGGTCTTCAGCACACCGCACCCAGCCCACCCCCAAGCCGGTGTGGTCCTCCCTTAACCTGTTCCACGGGGGACCAGGGTGGTGCTAGTGAGGGCAGGTGCTGGGGGCTGGGGAGGGACGGAGCCCAGGGCCCCAGGAAAGGCTGGGTGAAGGCACCCAGGATGAGACTGAACCAGGATGGATGGGGTGCGGTGGAAGACCGGTCAGGGGCTTTCCAGGGGCCCACTTACCCACAGCATTAGGGCCTTTTCCTTTCTCGAGGTCCCGCCCCGCTCTCCCGGGGCCCCAGTGGCCATAACCCCCTGGGGTTCCTGTCTTGGCTCCTAGCGGGTCCCATAGCTCATTTCTCTTTGGAGAGCTCACCAAAGAGCACGTTCCCACACACTCATCAGGGCGCAGACATTCGTGTTTACATCCGGTCCAAGCATTAGCAGCTCAAAGGAGTTTTTCATCTTAAATGGCTTTTTTTTTTTGGTGTCAAAGACAAAAACATTATTATTCACTTATTGCTTTAAGGAAAAGAGTGTCTCATAAAAAATACCGTTATTTGAGTTCCATGACTTTCTATTCATAATCTTGAGTTGGTTTTTAAAAACATTCCGGCTTTTCAACCTCACCAAAAAGGCCTTGTGGAAAGGCTCCCGGTGATTCATAATCTGCTGGTCTCCGTCCTAAGCTCCGCAGCTGTAACGCTAAGAAGCGCTTTCCAGTCATCTACTTCGGTGAACTCCTGCTTTGCAGAAGAATAAAGTTTCTCAGGACACTGTGGCTTCAGGTTAAAAGGGCAAAATAAACAAAGTGAAATCGAGTGTTTCCTTTTTGGCGCCTGAGAGCTCATTCCAGAAACGGTCTCAGAGTACAGTAACTAACCTGTGGCCAAATGTCTCTGTTCCAGAAGTGGTCACCGCCGTCCTTCCTCGGAGCCACGCAGTCACGCACTGAGGGGGGTGGAGCCGAACCTAGATGTACCTCCCCCCTCCACCACCATCCCAGCAGGCACGGTGACAGTGGCCCTGGTGCCTGGCCGCCCTCGCGTCCCCACACTGCCTCCCTGGGCGTTGCTTTCTCAGACCTTGGAGTCCCCTAAGTGCCGGGGGACACAGCCGCAGGCTCTGCCCGCAAGCCCGTCCTCTCCTCGGCTCCACGAGTCTCATCAAACAGAAGTTCGTCACCCCGCACAGCGACAGTCGTTAAATCTAGGAGGTCGGGGAGCTCGTTAGTGTCAGCGCTTGGTCATTCATTCAGACGACAAAGGCGGGGTGGGAGGCTGACAGCGGCCCCCGCCCAGATGTCCCTGAAACTCGTGACCACTTCCTTACATGGCAAAAGAGACGTTGCCGATGAGATGGCGACGTTACTCTGGATTAGCTGGTGGCCCTACGTGGAATCGCAAGTGTCCCGAGAGGGAGGCGGACGGACATTGGACTGCAGGAGAGGAGCAGGCGCTGTGAGTGCGCAGACAGGTGGAGCGAAGCGGCCGCCAGCCCCCGGAGGAGGCGAGGCGGGGCTGGCCCTGCCCGCACCTTGACCCCCGCCCAGGGAAGCCGGTCTCGGACTTCTGGCCTCCGGAACCGTGTGGGTGCAGATCTGGGGTGCGCTCAGCAGCTGCCGAGTTCGCGGCGATTTGCCGCAGCAGCCCCGGGAAGGCATGCAGGTGTGCGATGCGACAGCTTGACCTGCAGTGCGGCGTCGGCTCCCGCACAGGGAGGCCTCGGAGCTGGGAATTAGCCCGCGGACCGTGGGGGGTCCGGCAGAGTGGAGGGCAGAGCCACGAGGGGCACCTCTCACCCGTCCGGCAGACCCCGCGTCAGCTCACTAGGATACAGCTGTCCCCCGCCCCCAGCTCCGCAAAGAACTACAGCAGTCACCTTATGTGGAGTAGTAGTGTCCAGTTTTTAAAGACGTCCTACTTGGTTATTTTCCTATAACGATATTAGACAAACCAGCCTAGCTAACTGTCGGAATCACAGGCAGAAGCGTTTATTCAAAAAAAAAAAAAAATGCAGATTCCAGAGTCCCCCCCAGAGCGTCTGATCTGGAGGTTGGGGACGGAGCCTGTGCCCTTCCGTCTGGAGGAGCTCAGGCTCGGCCTGGGGAATGGCTGCTGTGTCTCTCCAGTGTTTACGCACATCTGGGCAGAGTCTCCCGCTGTCATAGGTAACTGCTTGTCTGCTGCTCTCCTAGATCAGATAGTACGTGAGAAACCGAGACCCACTTCTGACCACCCCGCATTTCCAGGGCTTCGAAACGGGTGTCGACTTGGGCCCCCCCTCAGAGGCATGACTTCCTCCAGGGGTAGGGTTCATGACAGGTTCTAGAGGCTGGTACCGATCAGCAGGGAACGCCCTCCTCATGCTCGATGTGAATTCCTTACTCTTTAGGTTAAGTGGCCATTCAGCCAACATACATTTCTTTTCATTTAAAAGTGAACTAAACAGATGAAAATCTCTGCCCTTCTAATCTAAATCTAATCGTCCCGTCCTGTCACCCACCAGTCTGAAAGGCTCCCTAAGGCGTGGACCACTGCGTCTCAGATTCTCCTCTGAGCAATGAGGAAATCGAGTCCCCCCTGTTCGTCCCCGTTCATCTTCCGGTCCTTCCGTGACCCTCGTCCTCTCACCGGACTGTGGCCCTTCTCTGCGTCTCTCCCAGGTTCTCCTCTTCCCACACGAGTAGATGGAGACGGGATCGTGAGGGCAGAGAAACTGCTCTGCAGGATGCTGTAGCAGAGGATCCATGTCATCAGATCTTTTCAAAGACAGCATGAACGCCAAGGCAGAGTCTGACCTTCGATGATCGATAATGATGGGTCCGTGTCGGTTCGTGAGTTGTAACCAATGCACCGCTCTGGGCTCTGGTGGGACGCGGACAGAGGGGGAGACTGGGGCAGGGGGGCGGAGGGCAGTCAGTAACGGGAACTCGGCACTTTCTGCTCAAGTTTACTGTCAACCTAAAACGGCTCTAAAAAACCAAGGCCGTATATTTTTTGCAATGGCATGACTTGGTGCAGAGCTAGGATGGAGCAATTCAACACAGACGAGCCCTAAAAGCCCACTAACCCACGGTCCCAGAACGGTGATCGAATCGGGATTACTCGAGGTAGCGTGGAATCGGGGAGCCCATCAGGCGTGTGTGGAGACAGCCCCCCACTGTGCCCAAATCTCCACTCCACCGACAAGTGGGACCAGCAGGATCCTTCGCAGATGCAGGACG